TTGATGACCTTTATGCTCCCCTCTACATCACTTGAATGAAAGTGGGCAAATACAAATACAGACTACAGTACACTGTTAGAAATAAAGGTTCTGTGCAGGCACATTTCTCGTTCATCAAGGTACCAACAATGTAAATGTACCCTCAAATGTACCAACAACAGTGGTTTTAAGGTCCATTTGTGAACCTTAAATAAGTTTTTTCCATGTGAAAATTATATATTAGTACCTTTTCATGACCTAATGTTTTAAAACAGAACAATAAAATAAAAAGCCCGGAGACGAGACGGGGTGTGTGGAGTCAATACAACTTAGAAAAAATTTCAATGGATTGTGGTACAATTATGTTCTAAAGGTACTGAGATGTACCCTTGAGGGTACCACCACAGTGACAAGAGGGGTACTGCCCCAGTGACAGTTTCATACCTTTATTTCTGAGAGTGCACAGGATTATACACGGGTGAGAAATATGGGAAAATGTAAGAATACTTCACTTTAACATCATCTAAAAATCCTATAAAATATGTTAAACTGAGCTCACAGGGCATGACTTCACACAGCGGCCACTGGTGAGGATCTAGAGAAAACACTTTCGTGCCAGAATACGGCAAAAGCATAGCGAGAAAGTGCTAAAACCACAGTGACTGTAAGTTAGAAGTGTGGTGTCAATGTCTGTTTTTCTATGATTTTTTTTGCACTGTTAGCTGAAGGAAGGAGCTGCATTGCCATCTAAACGGATGTGCTAATGCACTAATGCACACAAAGATGCTCATCCACACAAATAGTGCTATTTGCACCTTTTTTGGACTCCTGCCCTCATGAAAACAATGTTTTAGGTCAAAAGCTTAAGTTTTGATAACTGAAATATCCCTGACTCTGAGCCTTAGCATATTTTGCATTTGTATCCTGTGCACTTATTTGTGGCATACTTGTGTAAAGGTAATGACAAAAATAATAGATTAATGCCTTAAAATCCCAGGCTTATCACATACAAAGGCTTATTAATCAGTAACTACAGGGACTTTAATGCAAACTGGTTGAGATATTCTTAGATTATAGAAGTATGTAATAAAACTTTGGGTCTGCTGGCAGGCCCATGGCCTGTTAAGGGTTTAAGATGTATTTCAATCAGTATCCCGAATAAACTGGTATATTTGGTAATAATTGTACTGTTTTTGACCTGGCTGAATAGTTAAAAAAATTAACACTGATAACAGATATCAATTTGTTTGTTTCATCTGTAGCTGAAATAAATAGCTTTATGAGACTGTGTGGGTCATTTCATGAGATCAGTGCTAAGTACCTTTATTGTCATTATACTTGCACAGTACAACAAAATTCCATTCTTTACATATCCCATCTTAGAAACTGGGGTCAAAGCGCAGGGTCAGTCATTTTCCAGTGCCCCTGGAGCTAATAGGCACAATTGCCTTGTCCAGGGCCCAACAATGGACATACTAAATTGATCTTTTTATGTCAAAAACCCATACATTTTGGTCCCCCAAAGGATATATTACATATTACTCTAACATGTTACATGTTACTCTTACCACATCATAGATTTTCGTACCTGAATGAGTTATCAATCATACCTAATTTGTGACAAGGTGGAATAATTCATGAAAAACTGGCTGCCACAAAGTCACTTTTTAATGGTAAATTACATGATTATTCTATGAATTTTGCAAAACACTTAATAGTAAATGTTTACTCTGTCTGTTTTGTGTGACATTGGGCATGTTACGCTTGATGCACTATGTTAAGGTTGTAAAAACGGCACAGTATAAATGTTGAATAAAAACAATTTACTACTCTGAAGGCTTAAATGATATCATATCATCTCACTCAATTTGCAAAACATTATTTTTATTCCTAAATAAGTTGGAGATGGGGTGGTAAGCAAAAGTCAAGTATACAGATTAATTTTTGTACCCAATAAGTATTTGTGTCAATGGGATATTCATTTGTTCTATTAATATCTTTCAGTTGGGTCACAGGACTGACATATTCTTTGGTTAACTATTTAAAGTACTTTACAGAGTCTGAAGAAAGGCTGACATATGTGTGTGTGTTTTGGTGTGTCTAAGGGAATTATTATACTACAGGTTAAGTAATTATTGACTCATATAACACTAAAAATATAGTGTGTCACCAGAGCAAAGGAGATTCCAAGTATTGGTATTGTAAGTCATTGCTGTCCTCATGTCTCTCTTGCATCTGTGTTTCTCTCTCTCTCTCCACAGTTATTGCTTATCAAACAATAGTACTGCCACGCTAACCTGGAGGGCATATCCACACCGTTAGGCTGTCCTAACAAGAAAGACCAGTATAGAGAGAGAGAGAGCAAGAGAGAGCGTACTCTCCCTGTATCTGGCTCAGGGGCTGGCACACGTGTGTGTGGGTGCTGGTTGATGAAATTTCATTCAACTTAATTTTCTGCAGGCACTGAATAGTGTGAGCAGTGACACACAGCAGTCGACTCTGGAGCAGTAAAACTACAGTCTTTGGAGCACCATCCAATGCCTTTTGGATGAGTAGCATTTGTGATTCATAGCTAATTATCCGTCTTGTGGTTGAATACAAACAAATACTCGCAGCAATGTTCAACTTTTAGTGTAAAGCATTCCCAGCGGACTAGAGGCTGTTACTGCAGCAAAGGGGCAACAAACACCCTTTAATACCATTGTTTTCAGAAGAAACACTGGATGTCTACAAAACCTCTGGATATTATGATGCTAATGCACATATTAAATTAAGCTACAAGACTAAGAGTTATAAACGTAACATACAGTACTGTATTGTTCTTTCATTCTTTTTGGGACACGTCTTGTGGTCTTTCAAAGAAATCTGCAGGGAAATTTTTCCACACTTCCAAAGTTCAGTCTTAGAAGTTGGTTGCATTTTCTGCTTCTCACTATCCAAATAATTCCAAACACATTCAGTGATGTTGAAATCTGGACTCTGTGGTGGTCAGTCTATTGTTCTGAAAACACAGCTTCTTTGTTTGATTTGCAGATTTTCATGTTTTTTGTCTGTTTCCTTTTTTTTCTGTAGGAGCTTATTGATAGCTACACATTCTTTCAAACCCGTAGTGTTGAGTTGTCTTCTCACAGTGGCAGGATGGACAGAAAAACCTGTGGATTTTTTTCAGATTTAAACTAAGAGTGGAGATTGATTTTCTCCTGTCTCCCAAAGAAAAGCTTTAAGTACTGTTTATCTGACGGTGACAAATTTGATGGTCTACTGGGTCTTGCATTGTTGGTAGGAGTCCCTTTTTCTTCACATTGTTCAGGAATTTGTTGAACTCCAGTTCTGAAAAGTCCCATATTTTCACCTATTTTCCTTTGACTTTCCTCTTCCTCGCACATGAATGAATAACTTCATTGGCTGTTTTGACTGGATGGTAGGATGGTCTCTGACATTTGCACAGTACTATATAAACAAAGAAAAACAGGGAAGCTAAGAGAGCGATAGAGATAGAGATAGAAACAGAAATAGAGATAGAGACAGAAATAGGGATAGAGATAGAGAGAGAGAGTTAGAGAGAGAGAGAGAGAGAGAGAGAGAGAGAGAGACGGGTGGCGAGAGTCATTAAAGAGTATAATAATTATAATAATACACCACAGTGGTTCGGTTGCCTCACATTTATAAAATATCTCACTCAAATTCAACCCACTTAGAATCACCACAAGCTGTCTGACTGTCTGCATATACTAAGAATGAGCCATTTCCTCAATTTGACGTATTCAGGTTTAAAAGCTTCAGCACAGATGAAAAGCATGAAGCACTACTTGCTGTGTATTTTAGATCTTATCAAATGGAAAAAGAGCTCCTGAAGTGTCTTTAATTCTTTCTCTTTAGCAGTCAGTTTCTTGCAGTTTCTTGATCCCTGAGAGCAGGACCTCTCTCCTTTCGTCAGCTGTTAGTTGTAGCAACTCCTTTTAGTTATCTGATATTCAACAATGAAAATCAAATAAAGGAAACATTGTGATAGAGGGGAATCAACAAAGTTAGTTCCCAGAAAAACCTGTCTTGAAAGTATGCAAAGCAGCCATGTTTCTTTCCTTGAAAATCATAGCATGTTTTCCTTTTGCGTTCCTTGAATTTCAGGATCTTCCCAAAATGACAAAATTACAAAATCAGTACTGTTCCTGGATCAGTTTCGTGTCTGGCCAAAAAAAAAAATACTAACAGAAACAAACACATGGAAAGGAACCTGACCTGACATTAGCACTGAATTCCTGAGATACAAGAGTTTGTAAACACAGGCCTGGGACTGACACATGGGCCAACGAAAGCTGGGCTGGTCTAATCCAGTCCTCCAAGGTTGTCAGACTCGTAACGAACATTTCACCCTTTCAGTTAGGCAAAAAGGCTGAAGCAGGGCTGGAATAACATGGCAGGTGGTTAGACTTTCTATTCAAATACTAGCCTGTGTTACGCAAGACCTTATGAGGCCATGACACACCCACCTCCAACTCAGACACTGAACGCTCAGACAAACTAGGCTTTTTTTATGTAAGACTCATTGTGCGAGTCATGCAGCATTTGTACCAACGTGCGAGAAGCATGAAGGAGGTAGTTGAATGGGAATTAATGGTCTAACTGATTGATTGCGGCTTGAAATCAGCATGTTGTTAAACCCAAAAAGCCATATGCCCTCTGAAGAGAATATAGGCATCTTAAGCACTCACAGACTAAACAAATCACAACTGTTAACAATTTACCATCATTTCAAAAGCAAGTAACTGATAAAGGCAACCCAAATGACCTTTTACAGCTAATAGTCTTTCACGCAATTGCAGAAATAGGCCAATTTGTCAGCTACGTTAATGTAAACTGATGTCATGGGACTGGAAAAAGGAATAAGACTGGTCATTTTTTTTGTACTGAAGCCCCTAAGATCCTAGTTACACCACTGATTTGGTGCTAATGAACCACTAAATCAACAAACTAATGATCTAATTAAGCAGGATGTGATCAAGACTGAATAATGTACTCACAGTGAGCGGCAGTGAACAGATAACAAAGATGATGGTCATGCAGGCCAGCAGCACCAGGTGGTCCATCTCCTCCTCGCCCTGACCGAACCAGGAGCTCATCCTTCTCTTCCGTCCAGCCGAGACCACCGAGCCACGACGGGTCATCTGGCTGCGGTGCATGCGGCACAGGCTGACGATGACCGAGCCATTGCACATGAAGACCACCGCGATGAGCAGAGCCATGAGCACGGCGTAGGACAGAGAGAAGGATAGTGTCCGCATTTCCTCCTCCTTGCCTTCGCCCTCGGCCTCCATCTTGATGAAGCACCATGTGCCGGGGCAGTACTGCTTGTGGCGTCCAAAGCCGAAGAAGGGCAGCAGGCAGAAGGCACATGTGAAGAGGTAGATGAGGAAGAGCACAGCCTTTGCAAAGCTGCGACGCACGTGCTTGGAATAGAAGTACGGGTGGCTGATGGCCAGGCAGCGTTCCACCGCCATGGCGCAAAGTATTAGCATGGAGGCCAGGCCGAAGAAGGTCATGGCGAAGGCAAAGAGTCTGCACAGCCGCATATCTCCAGTCAGCCCCACCAGAGAGGTGCTGTGGGCATAGCAGACAAATACAGGTGGGCTGAGCAAGCACGTACCGGCCAGGTCCGTCAGAGCCAGCCCCGTCACCAGGATGCAGAAGACAGAAGATTTAGCTCGACGTTCTTTCTGGCGAAAGCCAAGGATGGCTAGTGCCAGTAGGTTGCCCACCACACCAGCCAGGAACATAATAGCACTCACTACCAGGTTCCCCGGGTTCTTGTCCACAACGATGTGGGTGATGTTCTCACAGGTATTGTTATGGAGCATTTTTGGATTGCCCTTACCCTGATCCCAGAAAAAGGGACAGGGCGAAGGCTGTGTGGTCCACTGTGTGAAAACAGCCGGATCTTTCCTTGTTAAGTAAGAAGAAACACTGTGGAACAGAGATGGGTCAAAAAGTTACTCTTACACATTTTGATACTCTGCAGCAGAGGTGTACACTAAGATGTGCATGTTTCTTCCTTACTTAAACCCCTTAAAATCCCAGACTTACTGCAAACTAAGTCTTATTACTCTACAGGGACTACAGTGCAAACTGGATAAACTATTCTTAGATTATAGAAGCGTGTGATAAAACTGGCCATTTAAGGAGTTAAGCATATCACATTGATAGAATTGATCCAATACTATTTAACCCCTTAAATGCTCAGACGGGTCCAATTTTCCATTTCTGACTCCAATGAATAACAAATGAGTGTCCTTGATTTCAGTGCAGTAAACAACTAGAGATAATGCCAATCTGATACCACATATTGTTGATATCATCAGAATACGCTGGGTTGGTATTCGAAGGGAAAAAGCAATGAGTCTGGTTCAACCCTGTTATCTAGTCTAAATTAGCACTCGCCCACACTGTGTGCATTTCTTCCTGTGAGCTAGCTGAGTGAGTATTTTGAACATGATCATTTTTAGATGCAGATATGAAATGCTTCAGTTAGAAACAGCTAATTTTAATGCTTAATAGTTTTTTTTAAGAAAAAGATCTGTATTGGTGTCTGCTGATACTCAAGCTATGGCTAAGGGAAAAAATAAGTGATATCAATGCTTTTGTGCTGTATTTAGGTTAGCTTAGATCTGTGTAAACAGTAGCTTCTGGATATGCCATCCAATTCATGCGTTACTGATTTTTTTTTTTCATCTCTCTTGAATGGGTGCTTCAAAAACTTCTACACATTTTATCATCCACTGACTGAAATCCGCTTCCTTTCTTTAAGCTTACATAAACCGATCCACCATCATTTAAGCGTCCTTCACACCAGCGTACATGCAGGTCGTCGTTTTGTTTTCTAATTGGGTTAGCTTAGGTCTATGGAAATAGCAGCCTGTTGAAACAGCTGCCAATTTGCATATGGGACTATGATTTAAAAAAAAAATGCAGTGACACTTCCCTTCCAGCGAATCTGACTTTCAAGACGAAAGTCGATTATTCATTTTTTATTCTGGTTTTATGTAAAGAATGAAGATAAGCTCTCTTAAACCCACGCACCTGTCAGAGGACTTTCCATCTCTCTTTCTCGGATGCAAACGTTGAACATGTGAGAGGCGAACGCGTCTGTACACACACACACACACACACACACACACACACAAGCCGTCCAATTCAGAAAGTCACTCTACAACAAACACCACGCAGATAAACCTCTTATTCAACCAAAAACTCTGAAAAACAACAAAAAAAGTCACCGAAGTGGTGAAAGTAACTAGCTAATAATCGTTGCGGAGGTTCATTCCTTCTTCTTCCTTCTCACAGACAGACCGTCTGTTCAGCCTCTTCAGCTCCAGAACCGATGACAGAAGCTTCAGAACATTCCTCTCGGTCTCCTGTTCAGGTTTTCTCCTCCGCTTGAGTCAGACAAGCTACGCTGAATGAACACAGCGCTTCTTGGTACAAGATAACGAGGCGGACGCGGTTGGTTCAGTGGAAATCTGCAGCTGTACGAGCCTTCGCGCCGCGTGACGTGACGAGTCGCGTAGAAGTGCTGTGAGGAACAGAAAGAGAGAGAGAGAGAGAGAGAGAGAGAGAGAGAGAGAGAGAGAGAGAGTGAGAGTGCGAGAGAGAGAGAGAGAGAGAGAGTGGATGTGTCATTCTTTTAAAAACCTACTAAAAGACAGGTCATTCTGGCATGTCTACACGGTTTCTGAGGGAAAACACGTGAGTGCGCTGCCTATTCATATGATCAATAAAGGTTTTCATTCGTTCTGGTCGCTGTGGTCCAGAGCACTCTCGGAAAGACTGGACCTGTCAGAGTACAAACACTGTCACTGTGATGATTCCCTCAGTGGGTACGTCTTTGGTACGTTTAGTTAGGGAGCGTTATCATAAGACACAGGCTATCACTCCGTACACCCTGGCTCAACTCCAGGCTTTTTTATTTTGTTTACGTTCTTTAAAAAAGTTACGAAAAGGTAAAAACATACACTTTTGCTCTGGGAAAGTGAATGTAATGTACCTTCATACTCATTTAACGCACACAGTTGGATCTTAAGGACCTTCGAGTGTACATTTACATTGCTGCTACCAACTAAAATTTACCTGGACAGTACCATTTTTTCTGTCAGCGTAGCCTAAATCCTACCCATGTAGATGTATTGTTATTTTGGTGAAATGACGATTCTAGTAGATGTTAAACTTACAGAACTGCTTAGTCCATCGAGCATCTTTCAGTACACAAAGTGAAGTTTTTTAACCTCTATTATTCTCTTTTGGGATCACTTTTGGTCTAAAATAAAATGTTAAACTAAGATGGTAGAGACAGTACAGTTGATTGGGTAGACCTAACTTGCAGGTGGAATTAGCCACAACAGTTAATACAGTACTGTGAAAAAGTATTTGCCCCTCACCCAATTTCTTCTATTCTTGCTAATTTGTCACATTTAAATGTTTCAGAGCATCCAACTAATTTTAAGATAAAGACAACAGGGGTAAACACAAAATGCAGCTTTTAAATGATCATTGTATTTGGTGAAGATAAAGATTTATTCAAAACCTATGTCCCCCTTGTGAAAAAGTAATTGCCCTCCCTAACCTAACAACTGGTTGTGCCACCCTTGGCAGTGAAAATTGCAATCAAACGTTTGCGATAACTTGTGATGAGTCTTTTACATCACTGTGCGGGAATTTTGGCCCCCTATTCTTTGCAGAATTGTTTTAATCTGGCTACATTACACTGCGTGTTTAAGGTCTTGCCACAGCATCTCAATGGGATTCAAGTCAGGACTTTGACTTGGCCGCTCCAAAGCCTTAGTTTTGTTTCTTTTGAGCTATTCAGAGGTGGACTTGCATGTGCTTTAGATCATCGTCCTGCTGCATAAACCAACTGCACTTGAGCTTTAGGTCATGAACTGATGGGCAGACATTCTCCTTCAGGATTTTCTGACCCTGAGCAGAATTCATAGTTCCATCAATTATGACAAGTTGTAAAGGTCCTGCAGAAGCAAAGCAGCCCCAGACCAACATACTACCACCGCCATGTTTGACTGTTGGTGTGATGTTCTTATGGTGAAATGCAATGTTAACTTTGCGCCAGATGTAGTGGAACCCATGTCTTCCAAAAAGTTCCACTTTTGACTCATCAGTCCACAGAATGTTGTCCCAACAGTCTTGGGGGTCATCAAGATGTTTTTTTTTTTTTTTGACAAAGTCGTGACAAGTGTTTTTTTAGGTCAGCAGTGGTTTACGCCTTGCAACTCTCCCACGGATGCCATTTTCTTTTGATGAATTGCAAACATTGACCTTAACTGAGGCAGATGAGGCATGCAGTTCTTTAGATGTTAATGTGGGTTCTTTTGTGACCTGCTGGATGAGTTATCAATGTGCTACAGATGAAATTTTGGTAGGTCGGCCACTCCTGGGAAGTTCCACTGTTCCAAGTTTTCTCCATTTGTGGATATTGGCTCTCACTGTGGTTCACAGGAGTCCCAGAGCCTTAGCAATGGCTTTGTAACCCTTTCCAGACTGGTAGATGACTTTGTTTCGCATCTGTATTTGGATCTCTTTAGATTGTGGTATCATGTGCTGCTTTTTGAGACCCTGTAGCCTGCTTCACATTGCCAGACAGGTTCTATTTAAGTGATGTTTAGATTCAACAGGTCTGGGTCATTTCTGGGTGTGGCTAGTGAAATTGGACCCAATAGTCAATTGAATTTGGTTAAGTGGTTGATTTAGGAGCTAAGGGGCAGTTACTTTTTTATATAGGTCCAGGAAGGGCTGAACAGCATTTTTCTTTCAATAAATGAAATCATCATTTACAAACTGCAATGCAGGTTTGATGAAGTCTTGAAGCTGTTTTATCCCATCATCAGGTCAAATAAATGGTAGGAATATTCTCTAGCATTTAAATCTCAAATGAGTGGTGTGATCCTCAATATTGTATTACAAGTCCAGTTGTATTGTCTAACTACTAGTAGATAAGCTCCTAATCAGGATTCTTCCAGACACTAAAGGTGACTAATGTTAGACTAATAACCTTTCTAATGAAGCATATTTGCCACAGAGGTTTCCTAGCTACATTCCTTGGAAGAGGTCTTTCCTCTTTTGGTGTCTCCTCATTTGTCTTAATAACATGCTGTGTCAGATTGTCTAATTGTGAGGTCCACTGAGGTTAAGGTACCACATGTCTGATGTAAGTTTTTCTATGGCTTAATTGTGCCTCATTCGATGGCTGTGGTATGCTACTACACTTTTTTTGTATTTACATATGTAAATAACAAATGAACAATTTACAGGTATAAAAACAGAATAGTTCCGTGTGTAAACATTGCCTTTGCTTATCTGTATATATGTAGAGAGCTTGGTTGAGTTTGTATCTCAGGCCCATCAACTTTAGCTATTGGTTAACGTGTTTTATGAAGATTTGTGGTACACAAGACCTCATAAGAAAAAGCACCGCAGCTTTTTAGACAGGAAATAGACCTCATCCTTAATTGTGAGACACTTTAATGGCCCATTTCATCAGTTCATGCCAAACACTTACACGTGGTTCTGGTTACAGGAAAAGTGGATGACTTGATTTCGCGTTCGCTCGTTTAAGTATTAAACAGCATTTTGAAGTCGCCTCTGTTGATAAAGAAGGAAATGGTCTTGTGAAAGTGCTCAGATGTCAAAAGTGGAACTGCCGCTGTGGGTGGCTATAATCTTGCTTATCTCATAACATCTCAGACATATCCAGTCATATAGAGGTAACAGTAAATCAATATGAAGTTCCCCCTCGTGCAGTGCAGATGAGGTTGTATCTGGAAGGTTACCCCTTGGCCCACTAAGCATCTCTGTGCTACAGTTGTCTGTATCTGTATAACCTTATTTAGTCATCATACCCTGTTTAATTCCCACCCCCTCAGCGCATAAAGAGCACATCTGCTGTGGTTATCGAGTGTGTCTAAGGGGCCTGACTCAGATCCAGGTGTTGCCTGGGCCTTAATATTATGCTGTGGGCTTCTTTCTCCATATGTTGGCTGGAATTTGGCTTTATCATATCCTATCATACTTATTCATCTGACTTAGGGGACTTCACGTGAATTCTTTTGGAAAACAAGAACACATGTCCCATTATCAGCCAGTGAATATCTTAACATGGTGTGTTTTAGGAGAACGAACATGCTTATTTTGGACAGCTCTCTGTGTTATCGTAATGGAGAAAAAGGCACTGATTAACTTCGCCTTCCACTGGAGAATATCATGGATGGTTTATAGCTGTGTAGCCCAACAACCAAAACAGAGTGGTGATTTTAAATAAACAGCACAGTAGCAGGCGGCGCGCATTGTGCTGCATGTGTCTGGCTTCTGCCTGGAGAGAAGAATCCTGGAAAACCAAATAAATATCGCAACAATTTCAAAGTGTTTCAAAAACTATTCAAGTGGCTCTTGTGCTTGTGTAATTTGTGCAAAAATAGATTTTAGTAAATGCTCTCCTTTTAGGAAATGGCTGCTTTTGCCTGTGTTTTGTTTGTATAAGGAGGTAGTGAACAGTTAAAAGGATTCAACTCTAAATAGCGATTACAGTCGTCATTAACAAGAGTGCTTGTGCTGGTTCTGAGCCTTTATTTATCAAGCATTTCAGACTAAGAGTGCTGATCCAGGGTTGGTCCCCTTCAGCTCATAAAGCAATAGCTGTTGCTCTCAAATATATATCCATTTCTGGTCATCATCAGGTCTTTAATAATATTCTGGAACTCTGAGGCAATGGGAAAAACAGTGGAAATCATGCTGGTATGCTAATTACATAAAGTCAGGTAAATGATCACATGATTGCTGGTCTGAACCTTAGCTCAAAAGCACCATACTGTTTTAATTGTGGAGATTTCAGGTTCTGGCTAATTAGATTTATGGTGGATTTAATTGAAAACAGCCACAGTTACGCCAGCACAGTGATGGAGGGTTATAAAGCGTGAATTTTGGAACATACAGACCTTTTGCCAGACTGGTGACAGATAGGAAAAAAATAACAGTGATTGAATACAAAAAGACTGATGTCAGCATAGCACTGAAACTACTCTCATATTTTGAGATGGACTGCCAGTAAGTATTTGGTGGAACGATGGTATTCAGGCTCATAAACTTCAATAACACATTTTCCGGGCAACATTTTCCGGGCAACGTTTAACCTCAAACACACTCAGCTTTTGGCATGAACGATGTATTGGAAATTCCACCTAGTGTCCACCAAAGCATAACATGCACAGCATTGTTTAATATTTGGCCTAAAATGGAAAGAGGTAATAATACTAAATGTCTCCACTTACTGAATACCAGGGGAAGAAGACAGAGAAGTGAAAGTGACGCTTCAGCTTAATGCACAGCGATGTATATGATTCTGTAATTCTCTTTCATAGTGGGAAGTGACGGTTACAGGCTGTACTGCTTTTCTAAGACTTGTGTTCCTGTCTGGGCTTCATTGCTCTTCTGCTGAACTTCATCTAAACATATATTCAATTGTTCAGTGATAATTTGGCAGAAAAGAACAATAGAG